GAGGCAAGGATGCTTGAAAAGGTGATCGATCTTAGGTGTCCTAGGATAAGTTTGGAAACGGGATGCACCATTCGATGTGTTTTGGGCCTTGCCAAGTTTCGCGGCGTTACGTGCCTCGTTTTTTTTTTTTTTTTGCATACACGATCAGTAGGTATCTACTTTTGGGATTTTCGATTTTCGGTCCCCGTCCCCCCCTATCGAAAACCCGTGGCGCCGCCCCTGCTTAGGAGGGGTGATTTGCGGTCTGGGTGTGTACTTGTGATGAGTTGTGAACTTTTGTACCATTTTGATTTTGTATTATAGGAAGCTAGCACTGACGAAGATATATGCGAAACGCGTTTGCAAATGCTTTCTTTAATACAGTACCTTTATATTTAAAAAAGTTTCACTTATCTACTCATACATTTGGTAGGTATACTTCATTCATTGTGCTGAATACACGTTCCATTGTATCAGTTTTCCCAGGCAATGCATCACATTGTGCAAGAGAACGGCTATGCTGGGAAATACTTAATTAACCCGCGCACCGACGGGGGGGGCGGATATCCGCCCCCCCCCTGAGGTTTTTCGCGAATAGCGGGAAAACCGCGGCGCGTAGCGCCGCGAAATTTGGTATGACTATTCCCTTATCAATTTTACACATGGTGTGCAAGTTTGAACTTCCTACCTTTCAAGGTCAGGTCACCAGGTCACTTTGAATGACCCAACCTCAAGTCACTTTTTTGCAACTTTGTCACCGTGCCAGAGCTACAGTAGATGTCGGAGGCCTTTGAAAGTCGCAGGATGTTATTAGGTCATTAGTAGCTACAATTTGTATATCTCGGAATTTTGATATCGGTGACCTAAGGTCAGGTCAATTTCGCGACCTCCCCATTATAAGTCAATGGGGGAAAAATCAACTCCCTGTTTTTACCACTAAAACGGGTCGGAATGGCCCCATATACCATACATGACTTCATATACGATCAACCTTCACTACCTTGAGGTCTGTTTTGCTGTTGGGCAGCTGTGAGGTCATGTGACGTCATCAAAGGTCACCAAAGGTTTTTGGCCAATAACTCCGTACAGGAACAAGATACAGACGCGTGGATGGTCTCATTGTGTTCAGCTCGTCAAGACGCATCGAATGATATACATGATGACCTCGAGGTCACGTGACCTGAGGTCAACCTTTGACCTTGACCTTTCGAGGTCAACATATATATCATTCGATGCGGATTGACGAGAGGATCACGATGATGCCCTTAGTTTGTTCCTACCTTGACTAATTCGAAAGTTATTCGAGAAAAACTCTCTTCATATTTAGCGCCGCCATTTTGACTTTTTCGACCCCTGTGACGTCATCTTTGACCTGACCTGAAAATGACCTGTGTAAAAATTGTAGATCTTGACCGTGCGTATCCGATGCCGTTTACCGCTTGTCGCTATCTTGTTTCGTTCTCGAGATCTCAGGGGGGGGGGCGGTCATCCGCCCCCCCCCCCCCCGTCGGTACTAAGTTGGCGCAGACCCCCGTCGGTGCGCGGGTTAAGCTTACGAGTAGATAAATGATAGGAGGGCAGCGATCAACAGAGGTCGCCAATAGGTAGATGGGCTGTGATCGGCAGGATAGTGTCAATGGTTGAGAGGGCGGAGATCATCAGGAGAGCGCTAAATAGGTAGTAGGGCCCCCGATCAACATTAAACAGGAGGTCGCCAAAAGGTAGGAGAGCCCCGATCAACATTCGACAGGAAGGCACCAATAGGTAGGCTTGGGTTGCGAACATCGGGAGGGCGCCAATGGGTAGAAGGGCGGAGAATGACAGGAAAACAGAAACACCAAAAGTTAGAGGGCGTTTTTCCCAAGACGGTGATATTGAATAGGACGTCGTCTGTGAGGAGGAAGGACGCCGATCAACAGGAGGGCGCTTGTGATCAGATGGGCGGTGATCAACAAGACGGCGCCAATAGGTAGGAGGATGGCTATCAAGAAAAGGACGCCAATGTGTGGAAGGACGGCAATCAACATGAAGGCGCCAAAGGGTAGGAGAGCCCCGATCAACATTCGCCAGGATAGCACTAATTACGGAGCGAGCGAAGCGAGCGTAGTCCTTCCTTAGATTAACGGAAATTTCTGAGTATGAGCGGCCGGCCGGCCGGCCGTGGTCACGCTTTTGCGAGGCTTATATCTCAGCAACCACTTGACCGATTTACACGGGGTAATTTTTGTAGGGTAGCTTCATGCCTTCTACCAAGTATACGACTATTTCCGATGCATGTGGGTGACCCCTTATGCACGTGCCACGTGCAAAACGAAGAGGTGTCAGTTTTGTAATTGTTGCAATATCTCGGTAACTACTTGGCCGATTGCGCTGAAAGTTGGCATGTAGGTAGGTACCCATTAGGCACTGCATATCCATGTGCCAGAGTTGGGGTGCTGCTGCACGTGCGCACGTGCAGGGGTCGTTTCCAGATCTCGAGAACGGCTGGACCGATGGCGCTCAAATTTTGTACACGGTTAGGGACCAGTTAGTAGGGTGCCGTGCACAAGTCAGTTGGGACCCATTTTGCACGTGCGCACGTGCAGGGTGCCGCTTCCAGATCTCGAGAACGGCTGGGCCGATTGTGTTCAAATTTGGCACATCACTAGAGACCGGTTAGTATGGTGCCGTGCACAAGTCAGTTGGAGGTACCCCCTCGAAATTTCGTACGTGCAAGGCCCACTCTCTCGCTCGCTCCGTTAGTTGCCCCAAAAGGCGTTATACTGGTAGTAGTAGGTTGGCGAGCAGCAGGAGGGCGCCAATATATGTAGGAGGCCGTTTATTAAGAAGTGGGCGCCAATAGGTAGGATGACCACGTCATCAACATTCAACAGGAGGGCGCCAGTATGTAGGAGGGCCCCGAACAACGTGAGGGCGTCAATGATCAGTAGGGCGATGACCAGCAAGAGGACGCCAATAGATACGAGGATGGCAGAAGGTCGGGACACCGATACCAAACCAAATACCAACAATGATCATGTGAAAATACCGAAACCGAACCGACTTGGGAATATGAGGAAAATACCAACTTTTACCAAATTCACAACCTCTTTTTCATTGGTGAGGATTCATGGTACCAACAAAATACCAAATAAATTAGCCTTGAAATATCAAATACCAAGATGGTATCGGTTTGGTATCGGTATACCCAAAAGTTGGTATCCGATTGACATATCTAACATGGAGGGCCTCCCATGTGCACGGGGGCCTCCTGCATACGTTTAGTTCCTCCTCCGTTCAGGAGACCTCCTCTGTACTCGGAAGGGCCTCCTCTGTACACTACGCGCCTCCCGTGTACGTGGAGGGCCTCCTATGTGCAAGGGGCCTCCTTCGTATCCGTCACGCCTCCGCTTTAGATGGAGGGCCTCCCTGTGCACGTGGGCCTCCTGCGTACCTACGTTTCGTTTCTCCTCCGTTCAAGGGACCTCCTCTGTACTCGGAAGGGCCTTCTCTGTATACTACGCGTTTTCTATATGCATGGAGGGTCTCCCATGTGCACGGGGGCCTCCTGCGTATGTTTCGTTTCTCCTCCGTTCAGGGGCCTCCTCTGTACTCGGAAGCGCCTCCTCTATATACTACGCGCCTTGAAGCCTTCTCTGTGCATGGAGGGCCTCCCATGTGGACTTTTTTGTCCTCCCAGCTAGCCGTGAGGCTATAGCCGAGGTCCCATGTGGACGTGAGCCTCTTCTGTATCCGACACGCTTCCGCTTTAGATAGAGGGCCTCCCATGTGCACGGGGGCCTCCTGCGTACGTTTAGTTCCTCATCCGTTCAGGGGGCCTCCTCTGCACTCGGAAGGGCCTCCTCTGTATACTACGCGCCTCCTCTGTACATGGAGGGCCTCCCATGTGCAAGGAAGGGGCCTCCTTTGTATCCGACACTCCTCCGCTTTAGATGGAGGGCCTCCCTGTGCACGTGGGCCTCCTGCGTACCTACGTTTCGTTTCTCCTCCGTTCAGACTTCAGGGGGCCTCCTTCGTACTCGGAAGGGCCTCCTCTACGGTTTGTCTACTTTGTATACTACGGTTTGTCTATGTGTATGGAGGGCCTCCCATGTGCACGGGGGCCTCCTGCGCACGATTAGTTCCTCATCTGTTCAGGGGGCCTCCTCTGTGCTAGGAAGGGCCTCCTCTGTACACGGAGGACCTCCCATTTGCACAGGGGCCTCCTACGTACACATAGTTCCTACTCCGTTTCTGGGAGGGCCTCTCTTTGCAGGGACTGGGAAGTGGGAGGGTCTTCTGTCACGACAGAGCCTCATCTTAACATTGCAAAGTGACCCTGAGGGAACCTTCTTTTGCATGAAAGTGCCATTTTTTTGCACGGAAGCCTTTAGCCTCTTTCAAGCATGGCTGGCCCTAAAAAACGGAATAGAGGGCCTGCGGCCCTCTATTCCGAGCAAAGGGCCTCCACCCAGAACAGGGTGGGCAAAAAGATAGTTTTGCCCACCCTGAGATTTTTCAGGGTGGGCAGCTGCCCACCCTGCCCCCCGGAATCCGCCGCCCCTGCACGTTCGTATGTCTTGCCTTGCCAATTTACGCTGTCACAGAGGGGCGGATGGGATGAAGCGGAGTTACCGTTCCTTTGGTGTAAGGTATTCAAGGTTGAAGGTAAGTTCTGGCATGATGACGAATGTTGAAGGTTTGCGCATTGTTAACGGCATATATTTTCTTAGGATGTGGGATTTCATTCCACATTGAAATTATCCACACACTTCCACGATTTCTGACTTCCAAACCCCTTGGTTTTGCTGCCCGTTCCCACTGCATTTGGCCGCTCTAAAATCTTAATATCAGCTTTGAACTAAAATGAAAATAAAGACTTCTTTTTTCTTTTTTCAAGTCTAATAAATTTATTTTGAATTTTTTAATTACAAAAACTATTAACAAAATTGATATTTTGATCTGACATCGAAACAACGAAAGCAGTTCAAACTATAGCCGCTAGTCGCGCTAAAAATATCAAGGAAGTGCAGAAGCCGAACGAGTAAACTGAGATGAACCGAAGTGCAGAATTTTTGTGGTTGGTCGTCGACGAATCTGCTCGGTCGTCGGCGATATTTTGTCGTTTGAAGGCTAATTTGAAGGTTACTGAAGCCATATTTGTTTCAAGCCAATTCTTGGACCGATCGAAGGTACGTCGAGAGCGATTACAACCCGAAGATCAGTGGACGAAGTCCTTCAAGTGACCTCTGTCACTGCGCCACATTATGCACCCATACGTGACTGAAGCAATTTTGTGAGGATTTTGTGATTCAGCGCTTCCATTTCCTGTTGTGTTTCGTCAGAAAGATACGATGGAATTGTTTTAAATTTAAGATATCTGTTTTTCACTTAAATATAATTAGGATCAAATAGTTCAGATCTGCTGATATTTGTTGAGATAGGTATGCCATGTGTAATGTGTATTTTTGATGGATTTCCTATTTTCTTAATGGCATTGGTGCTGTTAAAGGCATGAAATCAGCTAAAATCAATGATCAAAAGTCATGGTTAAAGTTTGAATGCTGCTTCAGTTTCAGTCAGCTGTTTCTTCGGAAACCTAGTGGCCTGTTTCGTGATTGGTCTTGACCTGGTCCTCTTCTATGATGAACTTCCTTATCTTATCCTGAGAACCGACATCACACACCAAGTACAATTTGTATAAGCATTGACACATTAATTTAATAATGTTTTATTAATGATATCAATCAATTAACTAATTGATAAATAGCTGGATAATCATACTCTACTGCTACCTTAATATCAATTTAGTGCTTTTTGGACCCAGCCCTTGAGTTCAAAATCTTTTGAAGCCAATCACCCTTCAACTTGAGATTATCTTACACAATGATCTGTGAACTGTGGAGGTGTTTTGCAAGCACCAATCAGGAAGCCATGATTTTCCAATGTAGAGGTACAGACCACTTTATCATTACAAACTGCTATTTTGGTATTGATGGTGTCATTAATTGAGCTTTTTTTCTTTTGGGAAGGGTGACATTGAAAAATGTGACTTGTAAAACTTACTAATTAATAAGTTCAGCTAGAGGGGTCCTCACTCTAACCTAGGCAGTAGGTAGCTACTAAACTCATTTGATGTAATGCAAACAAACCTGGATTCTTGAGCCTGGCCAGCTTGCTGGTTTTCAAGTTTCTTGCTAGTAGGTTATTCATTGATGCTGATAAATTATAGATGCATGTTGCCTCTGGTATTCTCTGTTACTTTAGGCAGTATATGTACTACTTATGCATGCTTTATGTGTAGTTAGGTGCTTTATGTATATCTTAGAGACTTTAGGCCCAGATATACTTGGAGCAGTTTCAAGGAAATGAGCTGTTAGCCATTTAGTGGGCTTACTCTATTCTCATTGGTACCTTTTCATTTACATTTAGCAGAAGATAAGCCTTTCCCTTTGAAAATATGTATATGCAAACAATACTTTGATAGACACATCTTAAAATGTGTTCAATGCATTCAGTATAGGTAATTTGTACAGTTATTCCCTGTGTCCTTGTTTGATGCAGTCTCTTGCAGCAGATACCCAACAAAAGATCATGATGAGCCTTCATTGTGCCTTCATTATCAGTGCCTTCATTGCCCGGCCCCTCCCCCTCAGTTTTGAGAGCTGCCACAATGGACGTGGACCCGACACCGGCCGGCGGCGGCGGACCGTCTCAGGGTGGTGGAGGGGGCGGCACGGGCACTGCCTCCTCGGGATCCACGCTCAAACGGTCGTCCAGCGCGCCGATGATCAACGAGCTCGTGTCGCAGGCGCAGAACATCAGCTGCAGCTCCACTTCTGCCTCCAGGTATCAGTGTCCCTACCCAATTGTGATTTGGCAGTTTGTAAGTGTTTTGTTCTGTTTTCAAGGTTCTAAGCCCATACTTACAGTGATATAATAACATGCATTTACTGACAGGTGTATGTAGTCTCTACATAGACGCATGTGTATCATAATTTTGGTTCTCTTTTGTCTTTTATTTTGGTGCTAAGATACAAAGATGCTGCAAAGTACAAATATTACTAAGCCAGCGCAGCCTCGCTGTCGTCGCACCCTTGAACCAAAGTCAAGAATACATATATTGAAGAACGCCCTTCATGCTATGTGTCATTATAATTCTAGAATGCCAAATTAAGTTTATAGGTCATGATAGCGATGATAGCCATTATCTGACAGGGCTGGCTCTCATGTTTCAACTTTTTCTTACATTTTTTTACTCTCCTCTGCAGGGGTTTCGGCTCTCCGCCGCTATTCTCTTTCGGCGGTTCCAGCCAGACACACAATCCGCGCGTGCGTCGCTTCAGTGCCACCTTCAGTCCGCTGGCTCCGCCCAGTGTGAGTATCAGGCGTCAGCAGGACAGTGTTGCGATGTCTTTTACCGATTTTTTAGTCAATGGCACGAGCGCAGCGTGCTAAATAGATGGTCCTAAATATCCGGTCTTATAACAACAAGATCGGAAGCTTTTTGAACCTAGTTTCATAATCCTACGCAGTAACTAACAGTTACAACAGTAACATTGCCATGCATTTGGATGTCATTACTAGTTAGTTAGCGCCCATTTCAACACAAGTTTGGTGTTATCTAATCCACCTCATGGCCCACTCTGACCCGCCTATATCTCCCCGTTCACCCGCAGTCTCCAGGCAGCAGCAGCGGGGTGCGCACACCGTCCCGACTGATGCAGATCCGACAGGAGGCCGGGCTCGAGGACCCCGAGATCAAACACGAGCGTAGTGTGCACGCTGCGCTGCAGGTGTCGCTCAGCTGCGAGGATCTCGTCGTGGTAAGCACGGAGAAAGCATAGGACAAGGTTTCTGGCAAGTCTTGTGATAGTATGGAGACTATGGAGCTTGGGAAGGGTAGGGTTGGGGTCGCTCAGCTACAGAAACCTCGCCTTGGGAAGGTGCTGAGAAGTGGGACTGCCCTTGCTGTGATGAGGAGTGCGGAGAGGCAGGCCAACTAACTTCGTCGTAGCACTGGACTGGGGTAAACATGATCAGAATGTGCGCAAGCCGATGTTACTGCGTACAGCTGTTAACTTGTCATGTTACCATGGGATATGATCATCGTCTGTGCTGCTCTATTGCCCTGTGTCTTGTAATCTGATTGTGTCTGGTAACCCTTCTGACCCTGTCCCATGCCCCGCGTACCTGCAGAGCTCTCGGGACGACTCGCTGAAGAAGTCGGGCGGCAGCGGCGGTCGTTCGGTGACGGACCCGCTCCATCTCACCATGCCGCAGCCGTCGGCGCTGCCCTACGGCTCGACACCGTCCCCCACTCGGCCGGCCGGCCGGCCGTGCTTCTCGCCGCAGGTGAGGTGTGGGAGGCGCTGCTGGCGCGAGTGGGGACCTACCACTCGTGTAGTTATATGATACTCTCGTAGGTCACTGTTGACCTGATTGGCTGCTAGAGTCCGTGCGAAAAGAAAAGCTACGGGTCGGTTTGTGACGCTATCACAATTTTTTTTTTTACCATACTGTCACCAGTTTCACAGTTATGTTAAATTGCTTTTTTACATCTACTATCCATGGTAGCCATATCACAGTACGCAGTGCACTATAAGTTGATACCTACCCAACTGAGTCCATGCATCCTGAAAGCGTAAATTCGTTTGTAGCGTTAGCTAGCTTGTGCTTACAATATCGCTATTGCTATCCATGGCACCCCTTCGATGCTGACCGGCCCACCGTCCTCAGATTCCGGAGCGGCTGCGCGGCCCGTCGTTCAGTCCGTCGCCGTCGCCGTCTCCGACGCGTCGCTCGCCGTTTGCGGCCATCAGCGGTCGGCGCAGCATGTCGCCAATCCTGCGGCCGAGTACGCTCGGAAACGCCGTCAAACGAAAACTGGACGACCGCCAGCCGGCGCCGGGACACAACAAGCGCTTCCACTCGGGCGGCGCGGCGGGAGGGGGAGGAGGAGGCGGGCTGCTGGTGCCACACCCGCTGGTTTACAGGTGAGGACGTGGGAAGCTGGGAAACGGTGGGTGCTCATGAGGGATGTGAGACGTTTAGAGTACTTTTTGTCCTCTGATGGAAGCTGAGCCATGTTGAGCTAAACCCAGGAAAGGTATGCTCGTGGAAGGAGGCTGGTCATTGCATCTAGAATGTGTGTGCTCTTGAAGACGAATCTCCGAGCATTACGTGTCATGTCTGCTGTATCTCCGCTATATCATTCCGCCAGTTCCCCCGGTCTGATCTCGCCCTCCCCGTCCGGCAGTACGTCCTCGCTGGAGGCGGCGGTGGGCGCGCTGCAGGCGGGCTCCGTCGGCTCGGTGGGTACCCCGGAGTCAGTGTCGTCAGTCGGCTCGCCGGGCCTCTCCTACAAGCAGGACGACTCGCCGCGGCCGATGCTGGCCGAGACGATGGACTCTTCGAGCGTGTTCCGGCCGGTGGAGTCGCCGCGCTCGTCGGAGCGCCGGCTGAAGGCGGTCGGCCACCACGAGCCGCCGCCGCCGCCGCCGCCGCCGCACAAAATGGACGACTCGTGTGTGCCGATGGAGACGGGAGGAGGGGGCGGCGGCGGCCCGGCCGGCGCCGGCGGTGGAGCGGAGAAGGTGATGGGTATGGACGTGCGACCTGTGGCGATGGAAATGGGCGGCGCCGGAGACGGCAAAATGCCGATGGACACGGGAGGGCAGAGGCTGCCCGGACATGCCCAGTATATGCGGCAGAGCATATAGGCTGTGATGGTAGCGTCGACTGTGGGACGGGGCTGCTCGGTGTGGTGGGAGGACGTGAGAGTGGAGACGACGGCGAGGCGTCTGTGGGCGGACCGGGCAGGCCACGAGGCGCTCTAGCTCGTGTACAAAGTAACGGTAGGCTGAGATCGAGCTTGTGCCGTCTGTATGGAAGGCTGCCGCGGGAGTTCAGCCTCGTATTTAACCCGCCGGCGTCCGTCTCTATTCGTCGGCTCATCTCTGTGTGTTCAGCGCTTTGTGTTGGCGGCGGCTGACGCGCCGCCACTGCGCGCGGTCTGCTAGCTGCCGCGTGCTGCCCTGTGATTTACTCTGTGAGAGCCGTGCCGGATCGCGCGGCCGGCCCGGTTAGGACTTGTGTCTGTGACCTGACCTGAACGCGCCCGAGTGGTGTGTGGACGCTTAGCGGAGACGCTCGCTGGTTTTGTCTCAGAGGGGCGTCTCTGGAGTCTCTCTGATGCTCAGATCTCTGTTTAGATTCGCTCGCTTGTGAGTCGATCCCACTGCCCCGTTGTCTCCTTCCTTGGGCAAACGGAGAGCGCTACCGGCGTCGTCTACTGCGCACGAGTCCATCTTCGATGGATAGGTGGCGCTGTGTTCGAAGCCTACGTGCTTGGTTCACAGACTTTTCTGCCTGCGCTGTAGCCATACGGCACACGTTATTGAAGTGAGTATGAAGTGAAAGTGGTCGAAATCTATTAAACTGTAGTGGCGAGTAGTGAGTTTTGCCTTTGGTTGTTGCATTTTTGCCGGCTGCGCTGACTCGATGGCATTTGATTGTGTAACTGATTGGTTCGGGTCGGCTGTTGCCGCTGGGACTGAGCGCCGATCGTTCTCGGCGGCTGACTAGGCGCTGCGAGCGGCCTGGGCCGGCGATGGGCCGCCGTTCCGCCTTCCTCTCTGTGTCTGGTGTACGTGTGAAGAGCCGGGCTGGTCCCGACGCTCTCGCAGCCCTCCTCGTCACGTTTTCATGGTACTGCTAGTCATGGGACGGGGTACCGCCCGGCCCGCCCGCTCTGCTCTGCCGGGCTACCTCTGCCGAGAACGACAGAGACGCGTGACTTGTGCGCGGCGCCGCCAGCGCCCAGAGTTCTCTGTGTAATCAAGCTACCGTCATTTTCTCATTGTGCGCAATCATGTAACCCCCAACCGCGTTTTTTCGCGATCAAGTCGTTGATGTTTTTGTTTTTCTTTTGTATGTTGTCCCGTCAGTGCGCCCAGTGTTATCTCGAAGTGGAGTCGCCTCCGTATCAGTGCACAGGGTGACCGGTGGACCTCCGTCTCCGTTATGCGCATGCGCGCTGCATGCTCGCTCTGTCGGCGCACGGCTGGTAGTGTTTTTTTCTTTTTGTGTAGGCCCCGACTGGCTGGGCCGTCGTACGAGTACCTTCCTCATTGGGACAAATATCAGCCGTGCTTTCAACCTTGCTGAAAGAATAGACATGTTTTCGAAAATGAATCGTGTTTTGTGAAGAGCTGTGTAGGTAGTTATGAGTTTATCGACGTATTTCGAGCATAATTGACGATGATTAGGGCTTTGTTGTTGGCAAATGTTTTGTATATGACCTTCACGGGCTTCACCTATAGGTTAAGTGTTTTAGATGATTTTTCGCGTGCATCCGAACGCCTGTTCGCATTTTTCGGTGTCTCAGAACTCGTTAAAAGGAGATGGCAACAATCCATGACGATTCGAAATGAAGCGGAAGGTGGAATATTGCTAAGAGTCACACGTTACTATCCCGCCTCAGGCCTCTGTCCTCCCTTTTGAGTGACGAGGTTCCAGTGCACCGAATTACTGGTGGGCGGGGTTGACCTTTCATTAGTGGCAGAGGCGCGTCAGTCACCTCGGCTATAACCGGACCAACTTTTCACAGGAATTATGTCGTTTGTCTTCTTTGTACTGACGCACGCTGAGTATTCTCTTTTGGATGCTAATCCTGGCGCTAATTTCCTTTCATTCGCTTCCGCTGTTCATATGCATGGGAAACATTCTAACAGTGTAGGCGTGGTGCGTGCAGTCGGTCATAGGTGTCGCTTTAGTGGTCTCATATTCCCACCGAACCCAGATTTAATTTCACCTTCTGCATTATACGCATCGCACGATAAAATTATCACCACCGCAAACGGACGACTGTTTCGGCAGACGGTGCACCGGCCGTCTGGTCCTGTAGGTTTAAGCGCGGCCCCGCCCTGCCGTGACACCCAAACTGCCGTGACCTTGCCCCCTGCTGACGTGGGGCCATGTCACCTGCGCGGTAGACACTACCAATGGCCCACAGACATGCGCGTCCCACAGTAAATAATAATGGCTATGACCCGGCAATGCCTTTTATGGACTTGGGAGCTGTGGTTCAACAGACGGCAATCCTCGAGTGCCGCATATGATCTCGTTTGGTGATTAGTGAGCACGCAACGAGCAAAAGACGCTTTTTGAGGAGGTCACGTCACCTATACGACATGAAGCGTACTGTGTACTGTGAAGAACTGTTCTGTTATGCTGCTTACGCTCCCCGATTCCACACTCTCAAGTCTTAGATCACAGTCTTTAGCTAAGATATTCATAAAACATTCCGTCGAGACTAGAGTCGACTGAACTGGCTATCGGAATCTAACGAAATCGTCGAAGCTCGCGACCGCGTTATTGAATAATTTTTTGCGGAGAAACCTACCGATACGTATCGATCCCAAATTGTGTATTATTCCAGTTGCATTGCACACAGGCTGCTAATGCTTACGCTGACACCTTAATAAATGTTTAACCACTCCATGCGGCGGTGCCGCGCCGAACAAATTACATCGAGACTGGTCACTGGAGGTGGGTGGTCGGCGGTCGCTCTCACCCTCCCTCCTATTCGGTTCCATGGGACAGTGGTGGCGGAACACCTTCAATTCAAGTTCTGTCTTACACACTGCCGACTTTTGGTCCCATTCTTTCCATGCAACGCTCATAGTGCTAATTTTAAAATGCCAAATCAAAAGGGGGCACGGTGCCCCGGTGCCCCCCCCCCGTTCCGCCGCCTATGCGTTGGGATGCACGCGACAAACGAACGGCGCCCGGAATGGCGAAATGTAAAAAATCCCTAGACAGTATTTCGGTCAGCAATGTCAAAAGGTCAGATACAAATTAATCCTAGGTGAGATCATTACTTGTCACATTTTTGGACGAATAAACTAAATAATTAAGATTTAAGTGCTTAACACGTGCAGTGGAAGGGGGGAGAATTTCGCCCACCTCTCCTATTCTTCGCAAATAACTCACTCCGTAAACATTCTATTTAGGTGTCAAATTTTCAGTACCTTCCTAAAATTGAATTGCACATTGTGCCGTGAAAGCTATACCTATGCAAATCGGTCCCCAGCTTTTCTCGTAGCACCTGTATGTAAAGTCAAACATCCCGCCGGAGCGGCGGCCGGCGCCGGCCGATAGGTACTCGCCGCCTGACCTGACTGTGTCGGCGCGGGACGGTTCCGTCTTTACGTTGCGCTGCTTACCGCTGCTAATGATCGATTTAGGGTAAGTACATACGTCAAAATCTCTGTGAAGACTAAAAAATTTAAGGAAATCTGAAGGTCAAAGAAATACGAAAATTCGCCAATGACAATTTGAGTTACGAGGTTGTAAAAAAATGCGACTGAAACACTTTTCGCGTCTGCTGATCCCTGCGCCTCACCCGGACGACATCTTATTCTTAGCAAAGTTCTAATTTTCATTCTATGGTTGGATTAATTAGAGATTCTAAAAATATGTTCAAAATATATGTGATGTCGTGTAGTGAAAGATATAAGAAAATCGTCCGTTAATTTTTTGGGTTATGAGGGTGTAAACACAAAATAGTTCCTCATATGGCAAATTTGACACCGTTTGACCTCATTTGACCTTGAAGACATTGACCTTAAGTCATTAATAGTCGTTTTCACCACGGGCGCAGTGGCGGCGGAAGCAGGGGGGCAAGGGGGGCAGCTGCACCCTAAAGCTATGGAAAGGGGCGCCTCGAAAATCTGTAGAGGAGGCAGGAAGTTAAGAGGTGTGGCAGCCATAAAGCTGAGCAGTGCGACACCGCAACTGATAAAGGCACTTGTGACACGAAGAGGGTGGCAATGACGTGGGAAAAGTATCTTTTGATATGCTGAAGAGTGGAGGGCATCCTTATCTGAAACAAAGGCAGATGCTGCCGACCCTGTCGAATATAATCTTGCCAGGCGATGAAGGCTAGGAGGGCGCAGCCACTCGAGAAGCGCGCCATGCGAAAGAGGGGCGCCTGTGTGTGTTCAGTTCAAAAGCTGTGTGTGTGAACAGTTCAAAAGCTATCGGTTGCTTTTCCATGCGTTTTTCTAGCTACCATAGTTCCTGAGATAATGGCATGTTTTCTGAAAAATATAATGACCATTGGCAAATTTTGACCTTTGATGACCTCTAGTGACCCCAATATTGCTCTAAGATGAAAAATGATCGAAATACTTTCAAACGTACGTATTAAGAGCTATCGACTGCTTTTTACCACGTCTTTCTATCCCTCTTAGTTTTTGAGTTAGAGGTGGGTGGTAACATATGCCCCCCCCCCCCACTAGGGCGAAGTTGGCTGAGACCGCCACTGGGGCGCGGGTTATTCACTAGTCCACACGAAGGTATTGGAACCGTGGAACTCTTTTCGATATGCCTTATTTGGAGAATCTTATGATATGGTGATCAGGTTGTTTCTAAACGAACATTATGAAGGTTACATTTACGCTATGGAATGTACCTAACTATTTCTCGTTACATAAAAACTGTAATTCTGAACGTGTTAACAGGTACAACACATTGTCAAACGTCTCTTCACTGTTTGTGTTACTACAACCGTGTATATGGTAAGGGGCGCCCAGCGGGAAGGGGCGCTTCAATATCGTTTGCACCCCTATCCTAGAATACCTTCCGCCGCCACTGCACGGGCGATCTGGCGAATGCACCTAATTCTCACCAAATCTGCACCTAATCTCTTTGATAACAAATATTTTCATACAATGAATTTATTTCAGTGTTATAATCGATGATAATGTCTGATGATATGACAAGGCAGGTAGTATAAGCAATTAGTGCAACCCTAGCTGCGAACATTTTTTTTTTCTTATTTCGACATTGTAGACAAAGCGGCTCTTAGGCCGCGAACTAAACTAAATGTAACTAAAAATTAACTAAAACTTAAACATAACTAACACTAAACTACACAACTAAAGGAACTAAAACATCACAGAACACATATTGAAACTCGAAACTTTTTTGATGCTCAATCACAATTGTTCTAATCTAAACGATTCGACTAAATTATATGCTGGGTCAGCGTCTTTGACGCGCGTTATACCTATCTAAAAAAGACGTTATGGCAGCAAGGAGGAAAGCGCTTTAAGACGTACCTATATGTATAGTGTACTCGTATACCTACATATGCGCCTACATACCCTCCTTCAGCATTAATTCCTAATTGCGCGTCCTTCTCAGGCAATTAACTCACACGCAAGACGCTTCGGGCTCTGCGTAGTTACAGTTCCATGTCTACTGAAAACTAAATGTGCTCGCGGTCACCAGGTCAAAGCTCAGTCTGCGGTTAGGCTGCGCCCACCTCCTTGGAGTATAAAAACCGTCGATCAGCACAGAGTGGCATCAGTATCTCTTCTCAGAGTCCCGAGCTACCTGCAGCAGAGAACCATGAGGCTGATTGTGGTTCTGGCTGTGACGCTGGCCCTGGCGGCTGCCGCTGAGGACAAGGAGGACCACGACACCGCTCCATCGTCAGTCAGTGGGGACCAGGATACAGAGGCCAACAGATACTATTCACAAGGAGCCGGCTTCGGACGGTGAGTTGATGTGCACTTTGTCTCGACTTTCATGTGTTTTTTATTTTTGTTTGCACTTTCGGAAGCGAAATGAACGCATGTAATATCGTAATTTTCTGATAACATTCGGTCATTGGCTATGAAAGCTGGAATCTCGATATCGTAGCTTGTAGCCAATGAAATGGCTAAAATTGAAAATGGTATATGGTATTGTAACATCAAAAACTATGTCGCTTTTATTGCAGTGGTTATCCGGGCCAGTACGGTGGACGTCGAGGTTACTATGGCAACAGTCGTGGCGGCCGTGGCTTCGGGTACGGTCTGAACGGGTACAACAACGACTTTGGCTTCGGTAACGGCGCCTACCGCGGCTACGGAAACCGTGGGATGTACGGCGGCTACGACCGGTCTCCCTACGGCTACGGCAGCCGCGGCTACGGCAGCCGTGGCTACGGCGGGTTCGGCAGGCGCGGTGGAGCCTACGGCGGCTACGGCGGCTACGGCGGCTACGGTCGGCAGTACGGCGGGTTTGATGGTTTTGGAGCACGGGGAGGGGGATACGGCGGCAGATATAACGGCGGATACTTCTGAGCTATCCCACAGCGAACGTCAGAAAATCATAGAATTCACTTCATTGCACAGTATCAT